GGAGCCGTACACCTATTTAGGCAGTAATGTAGATAAAAATAGGGGAACTGATAAAGTGAATAAAATACGATTACAAACGGCTAGGGGAGCTTTTATGGCACTAGGAAATTTGTAGAGATTAACAAAAAATTAAATTAATACTAAACTTAAAATCCCTAATTCTAATGTCAAATCACGACTGATGTGTGCAGATGAAACATCGAGAACAACTGAAATAATTACTTCTAAACTGCAAACATTCATTAACTGGTGCCTGTTCATAATAGAGGGAATTAAATGGTATGATGGGGTCACTAATGTAAAGTTTTGGGAAAAAACTAAACAAGTTCCAGTAGAGCAAGAAGTGAAGAAAAGGCGCTGGCTTTGGATAGAACACACGTCAAGAAAACCTGAGAACAATATAACTAAACTAGAATGTCTTTACATTGAAAACCACAGGGGCATAGAAATAAAGGAAGATTTAAAAAAAACACACGTAGAAGGGAGCTAGAGAGTGACGTTAAAAAAATGTGGAGGACATAAGGAGAACTGCATACAATAGCAGAGAATAGAACGACTTGGCGTGAGTTGGTTGAGGGCCTATGCTCGATTGAGGGTGGGGGTAGAAAGCAGACGAAGAAGACTTACTACAGAGTGCCTATAGAGGAGCTGGTACTCTTCACACAGTGACTGTATCAATGTCGCTGAACACGATGATGCACACAAATAGTGCCCGTACTGTTTGCTGTGGCGTGCTGCAAGAAAAGAAAAACACACCTGGAAATCCCTAACATCCTAGGAGAAAACATAAGCAACATAACGGCTACACAATCAAGCCTTAAAGATAATGTAATAAACTGGTATCGTTATCGCAAGAAACAGCCAGAAGAAAATCATATCCCATGTTGAAGATCTCAGAGAAAATGTTTGACATTTTCTCTGAGTTTTGGGAATCTTCTCTGTCCTACCCACTTTGTCAAACGGTGCAACTCTTGATGTTGGAGAAGAAAATTTATCAAAAATGTACGCAAAATAAGAAGCGGTAATTTTTGAATGTTCACCGGCCGTCATTGTTGGTTCAAGATCTCCATGAACTTCTTTTCTCTGATATAAAATCTTGTCGTTTTTCTTGTCTTGTTCCTTTTTAAAGAGGAGGCTGTTCTGTTCTTGTTCATACTTTCGCATCACAAAGATGGTAGCCAGGATTGCAAACATGCACTGGAGGGTGACGAGGACCAGGAACAACGGTAGTCTTGGGACATTCATCAAACTACGGGGCATCAGTTCACTGTTGGATAGAAAGACAGATAAAAAAGACGGAGAAAAGATTATAACAATATGTAACCTACAGAATTATCATCTTACTGTCTTTCCAGACCAAAAAAGTGGCTTGGGACTCACAGCCCATGGCGAGTGGAGTGTGACTAGCAAGATCCGCGTGCACGAACTACAAGTTCTATCTTGAATCAAGCAAATAAATTATAATCATCACATAGAACGTCTGATTATTTTCCTGAACACAAAAACTAACATCAAGGAAATAAGATAATGAACGCATACGTAAGGGAAAATTACATAAATAATGGCAACAATCGAATCATATTAACATGTGTGCTAAGCTTAAACATACCACCATATCGGTAAATCGCCGCTAGTGACCTGCAAATCAGCCTATCTTCAGCCTAGAGGGCACAATAGAAATCTAGGTCTAACACACAATCTAACTACTGAGATGTACTACCGCTGAGAAACTGTCTCCAGACCATCCCTATACCTAGTCCTTCTCTATCTCTCCCTCTCTTTCATTATCTCTCTCTCTCTGTCCCTCTCTCTCTCTCTCTCTCTCTCTCTCTCTCTCTCTCTCTCTCTCTTTCTCTCGAGTGACCTATAGGTCCAGCGGGTGGGAAGCTAAGAGACCAACTCTCCTGCCCTGTCCTTTTTTATGCTAACAAGTTGAAAGATTTTTTTCGCAAGTGCAGTCAAATCAAAATTCGTGGCCGCCATGCTACATTTAGAAGAGGAGCATAGGTAACCACGAGACAGGTGTCTGTCTGTACGTACGTATGTTTGTGTGTGCGCGCGTGTGTATATGTATGTAATTATATGTGTTTGTGTGTGTGTGTAAATGTGTGTATATGTATGTATGTATATTCTTTCGCGCTTGCTTGTGTTACTTACGCAACGAAGTTCAGAAACAAGGCGTCCGACACAAAAACTGTGACCAAAAAGGACATCTTCTCCCCAGATTTTGGCGGGATCCAGAAAACAATAGAAGTCACGGATGACGTCAGAATCATTGGAGCTAACACACACAGCAAGTAGAACACGGGGCGTCTCTCTATAACCATGACAAACCTGGCGATATAACCGTGCAACGTTAGTAGTAACAAAAGCTGGTTGCAACATAAATATTATTGATATATTTAAAACAATGTTTTCCCTTACTAAATTTAAATAATGCGGACACAAACAATACATCGTACAATTTATTGCCAGTCATATTTCACTGTACCTCGTGAGGTGCGTTACTAAAGAGTTACATCAACATAAAATAAACCACAAAACTGAATAAATCTAACTGAAATGCAAATAGTTTCTTCCGACACATCGTGCCGCCATAAGCTCACCGTAGTCACATGACTTACCAGGGTAACTATAAATTTCGTCTGCTTACAAAGGAGGGGGCAAAAAAGTCCTTACGTCCTTTTCAGGACGTAATTTTCTGTTATTTGAAGCCCCACTCTGGCTTTTGCCAGGGGCCGCAGTATAGGCAGGCCATAAAAATGGCCAAATGTCTGAACGCGGTTTCTGGGACCTCTCCACGGTGATCCTCATCCACATGGTGGCATGTTGTGTCATCGGGTGTTTATCGCTTGTGTGATGTCCTAGTGGGTTAGAAAGTCACTCACTCAAAGGAGGGGGCTGTTGATTTTAATTGTTAAAGCTTCGGCGATTCTCAACAGTCTCCTGTTCGTAGTGTGGTAAACCACACGGAAAACGCTCTCTGTATCAATTACATGTCTGGAATTAAGTAGATGACGTCCTATGGAAGAAGCGGGTTCTTTCCTCTTGACTGGTCTTGACACCCTTGAAGAATCACTGAACTGTGAATGTCGCCATTTTGGTGAGGATCCTGACAAAAACTTTGAGTAGATTTTTAACTTCAAATTTTGCCCAGGCAGCGCCGCTAGGCTACTCTTTTCAATTTCTAACTGCCAAGGGATTTTTTACGTGTGCAACAATGCATATGCATATGGGCGTCCGATCTCACTACCAAGAGACCAGAGGAAATTACTAGAATTGCAAGTCCTCGTGAAAAAAATTCCAGCTAATACCTTTCCGGGTATTGAACCCGGAACTTCTAGCTATCGAGGCGGACACCTTGCCTCGAGACCACGCAGCTCCTAGTTTGAAAAGTCACACGTGTTGTAATTTAGCTACAAGTGTTAAAAAGACTATGCTTGTATGGATATCAGAAAAAAAAACATATCTTTATCCTCTCTCATCAGCTGTAAAACATCGTCAGCATGTTCTGGCTGTTCGTCAACTTCAAGACTTTCGTCATGTTCCAGAATCTGAGTCTTGCGTGCATACCCATTTTACAGATGTGGTGTTTTAGTATGCAGACTGTTCCTCGCCTCTGAGACAAATACACTCCGACCTCCAAGGAAACCTCCCTAATTAGTCGACTCTTACGCTTTGCCTGTTTGGGGCAGTAGCACCCCCCCCCCCCCCCCCGCTCCAACATTTTCGCCTCTTCCCCGGAACCCACACGGCGAATGAATGTTCTAAAAAAGATAACGTTTACAGAATACGACGGGGCTGTTCTGGTTTGCCATTCGACTCTGCTGTGAAACAGTTTGTACATGTTTTTGTTTGTTCTATTCGACACTGCTGTGAAACAGTTTGTACATGTTTTTGTTCTATTCGACACTGCTGTGAAGCACTTTTTACATGTTTTTGTTTGTTCTGTTCGACACTTCTGTGAAACAGTTTGTACATGTTTCTGTCTGAGAACAATCGTGCTGCGTTTGTCGTTCAAGTGTAGTGATAACAGGGCGGTCAAGCAGCACTCACCAAGCTTCAAGCCAAGTCCTCAGTAAACAGAGAAACATGACCCTAGACAAGTGTGTTGGAAAGGCGGCACGTGTTTATGCCATTTAGCGTACAGCGATCTGCACGAACATCCATCGATCGGCCACCCTATCAGCCTGGACTCCACCGAAGATAAGGTTGGCAAAGATATAAGTTGATATGTCAGATATGTTTATCAACACAAGACTCGATAAGTTATAGGTTATTTTATCCTATCTCAGGGGCTCCGAGATTTCGTAGGGAATTCCTGGGAAAGTTAAATATTATGTTGGGGGGGGGGGGGTAGTGTTCGGGTTAGTTATGTTATGCTATCACAATTGACGACTTTGCACATCGGGCATCCCCAAGCATACTCAGTCCTCCGATGCAGCAGCCAATCCAGGGGTACTTCTACTGATCGTTTCTATGAGAAGTTGGATATAGTATCTCCTGTCTTTACCCCGAAGACGACACAGACGTGCTTCCCCAAGCTTAAGCCCTCGGTCAGGTAGTCGTGTTAGCGTCAGAGATTCACCATCATCCTTCAACCTAGTCCGTACACCGCTGATGATATCAACTCTGTCCATGCTTCTTTCTGTTTTCATCAGTGAATTACTTGCCAGCCGGTCAGCTCTTTCATCAGTGTATTACTTGCCAGCAGGTCAGCTCTTTCATTAGTGTATTACTTGCCAACAGGTCAGCTCTTTCATTAGTGTATTACATGCCAACAGGTCAGCTCTTTCATTAGTGTATTACTTGCCAGTAGGTCAGCTCTTTCATTAGTGTATTACTTGCCAACAGGTCAGCTCTTTCATTAGTGTATTACATGCCAGTAGGTCAGCTCTTTCATTAGTGTATTACATGCCAGCAAGTCAGCTCTTTCATTACATTAATGTTAGTCGGTATTCATTTCACACCCTAACACCCCTATACTATTGGACTTTCCCGGGAATTCCCTATGAAATCTCACGTTATTGAGTGCAATAAAATGAAAGGGACCGGGATGTATTTGTGGCAGCTGCAGGCGGTACGGTATAGGTTATTTATTGGTTTTTATGAGTGATGTTTTACTTGTTGACAACTATGTGCTGAAGATTTGCAGTTTATATCCGCCATATAGAAAATGCATGCTCGGATAAACTTGCTAAGAAAGGGAAGAATGTAAACAAGAAGACAATTAAAGCACATACTTTGGCGGAGGAGGGAGGGTAATCCAGTCCAACAATAGTGGGCAGGATCAAGTCAAAGATGACTTACTTCAAGGGCATAGGCAGGTCGTCACACTTCGCCTCAACACAAAATTAACAAACACACGCACAGGCTTTGTCTGAGTGTCGGAGGCGTCTCTGGTTTAGGCGTTGCGAGTCCGACTCGTAATTCCAACACTGCTGGCTGCGTGGATTTGCATCGTGGTATGGGGCGTCGCAGGTCTACCAAGCCTAAAATTGGTACCAGGATGCATGTCCTGGGGAAGTAAAGACGGTCGGCGGAATGCTAACCACATTACCCACTTAGTGCTGTATGGTCGGTAAAAAAAAAAGAGGGCACTCTTTGCTACTTTTCGTGGCATTATTCTCTCCAGGTGCATGTTTCATTATCTGTTATTTCACGCGTAACCTTGTCCCGCAGGTTACAGATCACCTCTGACTTGTGTAGCGGTACACCTCTAAGTGGAGCCAGTCCAGTCAACCTATTTGCCTGTTCGTTCCCAAACACACTAGAATACCAGTACAAAATAGCTACGTGAGTCTCACTAACTGTGCCTATGGACTGAGAACTCATTTCATATGAAGAAAACCTGACTTCGCTGTCCTGGGTACGCTTTGCGAATCCAGTAATACGACAACGTGTGTGGCTGAGACTCTTTTCCAACAATTGGAACGCCGCAGATGCAAGATAAATTAAACAAACTTAACCACAACAATCACGTCCACAAATATATAGGGGAAGACAAAGAAAATAAAATTAAAAATTTAAACAATAATCAAATATCTCTGAGTGAAGCATAGAGAGAACTACAACAATTACAAATAAGTTACAATTATCTATTAACTTGTGTCTGAGCAGAAGAGAGAAAATTGAATGGGACCATATCATCAATATAATCACGAGTGTGAAACATTGGGGGAGAAAAAACACACACACACACATTTTGCAGTGAATCAAAAGTTGGCCGGGGGGGAAGGGGGGGGGGAAGACTAGTTATTGGATAGCACACGTTGAGAAAACCTGAGAACAGTATTATTAGATGGGCTTTACACTAGGACAAATAGGGGCATAAAAAAGGGTATTTCCCTCAGCTGTCCTACCCTCCGCTACCCCCCCCCCCCCCCCCCGGTCCAAAGATTTGTAAGAGAAACTAGAGAGTGGGGCTAAAAAAAAAAGGGGGAGGACAAGGGATGAGCTTCTTGCAATTGCATAGATATTACGACTTGGCTTGAGTTGATTGAGGGTCTGTGTTCTCCTGGGGAATAACGGGCAGGATTAGAACAAGAGACACAACAGAAAAGAGAAGATCACTTACAGAGGTGAATGCAAGCAGGTGATAACTACAGTGGCGAACTTCAAAAACTCAGAATGTTGAAGAACTAATCTGTGTTTTTACAGAATAATTAGTTCACAAAACACATGATATTTTTTTTTTTTTTTTTTTCCTTTTTGATACTGATCGTTACAAGCTCAAACTATTTATGTAAATACAGAAAATTACATTTTGTACAGGCAAAAGAAATATGCTGTAAAAAATAGAAAATGAAATTTAGAACAAAATTGGCACACTTAGGTAACTGTAAACTACAAGCTTTTAGTGACATGTGAAATATAAGGTCTAATGCCAAATTTAATGGTGATAGGACAAAGGTTATGGAAACAATAAATGCATTTCGATGACCTACGGCTTTACATGGGATCACTATACAATATTACCTGAACACTTCCACGTCAGCAATGTCACCGACGGCCATTCTTGTCATAGTTCTGGACTTGACTTTCCACTGTCCGGTCACCGACACCCCACTGTCCAGTTCCTCTGCCACACGTGCAGATATATTTTGTCTCACGTCATCAAACACAGGAAAGAAGAAAATGTCACAAACCTGTTTAGATCAAAGGGATGGTCAACCAGTGTCACAAACCTGTTTAGATTAAAGGCATGGTCAACCATTGTCACAAACCTGTTTAGATTAAAGGGATGGTCAACCAGTGTCACAAACCTGTTTAGATTAAAGGGATGGTCAACCAGTGTCACAAACCTGTTTAGATGAAAGGGATGGTCAACCAGTGTGATCAGTTAGTCTTTTCCTCCGCCTTCTACTACTCATTCTCTTCCTTTCCTTTTTCTTGTTTTCCCTAAAATGACGATTGGCATGTTGTTAGTTAGTTAGTTCGTTTGTTACGAAGTTAGTTAGTTAGTTATTAGGTTAGCTATTTTTTTTTTAGTTTACTACTAATTAAGTAAGTTATTAAGTTAGCTAGTTATTTAGTTTACTATTAAGTTAGTTAGTTAGTTAGTTATTATGTTAGCTAGTTAGTTAGTTAACTAATAAGTTAGTTAGTAAGTTAGTTAGTTATTAGCTTAGTTAGTTAGTTAATTATTAGCTTTGTTAGTTAGTTAGTTAGTAAACTAGTATGTTAGGTATTTAGTAAGTAATTTAGTTAGTTAGTAAGTTAGTTAAATTTCTAGTTAGCTAATTAGTTAGTTAATTAGTAAGCTAGTTACTTTATTCATTTGTTATTAAGTTAGTTACTTATATGATGAGTTAGTTAGTTGTTAGTTAGTTAACTCGTTAGTTGTTAGTTAGTTAGTTAACTAGTTAGTTAATTAGTTAGATAATTAGTAAGTAAGTAATTAGGTAATTAATTTGTTAGTTAGTTATTTAGTAAGCTATCTAGTTAATTAGTTAGTTGTTAGTTAGTTAGTTTGTTAGATCGTTACTTAGTTATTTAATAAGTTAGATGGTGTACCGCTGTGCTGTGATATCTGCGCCTTTCGACCCAACATATTCCATATCATGTTTGTGGAAGGCTGAGCCCATCTCAACACCCCCCCCCTTTTTTTTTCTCCCCCATGGAGCCCTCAACACGCCCTCCTGTTTCTCCCCCATGGAGCCCTCAGCACCCCCTCCTGTCTCTCCCCCATGAAGCCCTCAGCACCCCCTCTTGTTTCCCCCCCCATGAAGCCCTCAACACGCCCTCCTGTTTCTCCCCCCCCCCATGAAGCCCTCAACACGCCCTCCTGTTTCTCCCCCCCCCCATGAAGCCCTCAACACCCCCTCTTGTTTCTCACCCCCCATGAAGCCCTCAACACGCCCTCCTGTTTCTCCCCCCCCCCCCCATGAAGCCCTCAACACGCCCTCCTGTTTCTCCCCCCATGAAGCCCTCAACACGCCCTCCTGTTCTCCCCCCCCCCATTAAGCCCTCAACACGCCCTCCTGTTTCTCCCCCATTAAGCCCTCAACACGCCCTCCTGTTTCTCCCCCATGGAGCCCTCAACACCTCCTCCTGTTTCTCCCCAGGGTAGAATTTGCATCCATAAGATTCGATGAGCGGAGACTATACACTAGACCCGGTACTGAAGCTCAATCTCTGAGGGACTATATTGTAAAGCTCCCACTCCCTTTTCAAACCTCACGGACTATTCTGTTGTGCAAGACCAGTATTGGAACTTCACGTCTGTACAGATGCATAAAGTATTGTTAGCTGCAGGGGCGCTGCAACTTCATAATAGAGGGCCTTCAGTGTCCTTTACAATTTACTAGGGACTGGCGGTCAAGCACAACAACAACAACAACAACAACAACAATAATAATGTGTGCTAACAGCAAGCACATGATTCAGTTTATCTTAAATAACATGAAATGTGTAAACAAATACTTTAAAATAGAACGACTATATATTGTTAGATGTGGAGTTTGTTCCAGCTCCTTAAAACCCCATATCAAATTCTGAGGGGGACTCTAGTTGTAGAACCCCCAGGTTCAGACACCTATGTTAAGAAGATCATGAATCAGTGATTGGTTTTATGCCTGCGTTGATCCTGTTGTCTCCGCTTGGTTTCGATGTTATTCACTATCAAGAAGATATAAGGGGAGAAGAGAAGAGGCCAACATCAATTAGGATGGGGTTAGTGACTGTGATAGGGATGATGAAGATGATGGTAATGATGATGATTATGATATCGACCAAGAATAATAATGACGATATCGAAGATATCGATAATACCGATCCAAATCAAAAAGATCCAACGGTTCCTGCACACGCAATTGGTGTATTAGGCATTTAGGGCTATTTTCATATTTTATAGACCAATAGATGGTTGATGCAGTCAACATCACTCAGGCGGCGTTTACTTCACAAGACTTCACCTGGTACCCATGTAAGTCTACGTCGACCTGGGAGCCGAGGTCATGTTTGGGGAGAAATAAAATCCGGCTTCATGCATTTTTGTTGAGAATAAAACACGATAACTAACCTGGGTATCAAACGGGTAATAGGTAAGGTCCATGTTGCATGTGGTCTTTAAGTAGACCGGTGTCACATAACGAAGGCTCCCAGTAGAGCTTAAACTGACCAACTGGGCCTTGTCTATCATCATATAGTCGGGGTCAGCTGTGTTGGCTATTCGAATTGATGGGTGCCAGATTCTGGACGTTGTTCAAAGCAGACACCGTAAAAATACAAGAAATAAGCAAGTGGAAATAATAATAATAATGAATAATTTCCCTAAAGTTATTTGCACATCATTTACTTGAAGTTGCTTGCACCGTCAATGGTGAAAATATGGGGTTGATTGCAGTCAAGCTAATACAAGGAATTCCAGAGAAATGCGACTGAAAAGCTCAACAAAATGGGGAAGCAGAAAATCGTATACAAGGAATCCGGCTATCAAATTCACCTCACTGATCTCTACCGCTTCAGTAAATTTTCTTGACATCACGATTAGCATCGATTTCCCGTGTCTGAAGACCACAACCTACTACAAACCCACGGATTCTCACAGCTATCTCCTCTATACGTCTTCTCACCACTAAAAATTCTATTTTGTATTCACAGCTCCTTCGATTGCGCAGGTTGTGCTCTGACGATTCTGACTTTTTTGATAAATCAGCTGAACCTCTTGATTTCTTCAGTGCCCGTTTCTATCCGGAACACATTCTGCAAGGGGCTCTAAACAAAGTTTTAACAATCACCAGGAGAGATGCTTTCCCCACTAAACGTAATTCATTTCAACCAGTGATGGACCCAAATTGATTTTGACTTTTCACCCTAACAATGTGTTTGCTTCCAACGTATTCTTTCGTCATTTGGACATCCTCTGCTCTGATCAGGACACCAAGATTATCTTTAGTGAGAAGCCAACATAAGTTTATAGACGAGACCGCAACCTTAAAGACATACTTTTCAGAAGCCGACTCCCACCGATCCACTCAGCACTTCCTTCTGGGACTACTGAATGCTCCCGCAGCACGTGCAAGATATGTCCTTTCGTTGTCCAGACTTCGGTCAGTTTCCCTAAATTAGGGAACCTTTTACTTGCGAATCCGGCAACGTAATTTATGCAATTATCTGCAAACGATGCAGCAAGGCATACACTGGGGAAACTGGCAGGAAGCTAGCTGATCGTTTCCGGAAACACCTCTCCGATATTGACAAGAAGACACTTAATCCAATCCCTCTTCATTTTAACAACTCTGACCACAGAGGTAAAGATGATATATCTGTCACAGCATTAAAATCTTGCTCTGGCGATCATGCTACGCGCCTCGCTTTGGAAAATCGCCTCATCCACAGCCTTGGCATTCTTAGTCCAGGTGGTATCAATATCCAACATAGCTTCATCTAAACAGTTTTACTATTTTCACACTTTAAATGTTAATTATTTTCTTCTCTTTTCTTTTATTTCATTTTATTACTTTATTCTATTTCTTATCAGTATCATGTATGCATCATTAACATTTGTATTTCTGTTATTTCTACTATTATATTATATATTAAAAAATATTACTTTTTTTTTGCGGCTACATTTTTTTTAGCCATTGTTTATTTTTATTTTTTTTTATTTCATTTATTCCACATCACATTTTTTTTAAAGTTGCTCACATCACTCCTTAGAGATTTGTATACTCTTCTCTCCTCGTTGTTATTTTTGTGTAGTTTGACAAAGGCTGCCAGGCCGAAACGTTACGTTATTTGTGTTGTTTTATGCACGATTTTCTGCTTTCCCATTTTGTTGAGCTTTTTAGCAAAATTTCTCTGGAATTCCTTCCACCGTCAACAATTTTCAATATTCAAAATGATGTTTTTCCCGTTGTGAATCTAATTATGCGGACAAAATATACATTGTACAATTTAGTGCCTTAAAATCTGAGGGCCTGGCTTACATTCAAGTATGAGAATGAAGGTGGAGGCAGCAACGGCAGCTTTCCGATGGCTAGTGGGCAGCACAGCCCGACATTTTGTAATTGCAACTAACTCAAGAGATTGCTCCGTAGAACATAAAGGATCCCGGACGCGCCCTATTACTGCAGCGACACAGTCTCCAGTCGCATGCAGCCTTCTCAGACACATTGACAAACAGCTCAACATCATCTTGAACACTAAAACAGAAACATGGAAACACCACGCCGCTGCTCCGATAAGAAATATTTATTGGTTCCAACAACTGTTCTCCTCCGTCAATGCACCAGAGGTATAAACATCTTGGGGCGACGAGATCTGCCACACACAAAGAACATCAATGTTATTATCATTAGCTGTACAAAATGCAGCACTCCCAAACGTGGACTTCGAGAGCTACTAGACGTACACGAGCAGAAAGCGCTTGTCTCGAGCCGACTCCAACTCAGCCGCTGTACGGACCTGGATGGGCAGGTTTTTCTACCCAGGTCAACTGCTTGTTCTGACATTCACTTTTTCTGCAGATTCACTCACTTCTCGCTCTTCAAGCGAACCCGATTATCTTAAACTTGAAAGCAAAACTAAATCTTCTCGATCATTCAAAGTTGAAAAAATCAGTTTATATCTCGAGTTCTCGAACGTTTCGAACATGATTCATGCTTTTTTTTTTTTTATCCACCTTACACACTTTTAGACATCTGTCTCGAGTTATTAATTACTCGATTCTGTTCCTGCATACATCATACTTCAGAATCGATACCATTCAACCAAACTCAGGCACACAATGAATGCTTAGTAGTTAACCTCATTTACAAATTAAAACAGTAATTAACAATAAGAAAATGACTCATTATACTCCACTGGGGGATAGAAGGTAGAAGAAGATAAAGACTAACAGTCCAAATACAGTTTTCTCACTCATCATAACGAACGCTGATAGTATCCACTCCCCCATACTCTGCCTGATCCCATATAAGGTCTGGATCACTCCAGAACATTTCAATATAGCCAACAGAGAATACCGACTGTTCCACCTCATCCACCGTCAAAACCTGGAAAACAATACCATGTAATCATGTAGGAACCACTAAAAGAGTATCCCAAGCTAGGGGATAACAATGCAATATCAAACACTTATCTAAACTAGAAACAGGTAAACCGTCTACCTATCACTCACGCAAGTAGTAGTACTAGCAGCGACAGCAGAAGTAGTAGCAATAGTGGTGGTGGTAGTAGTAGTAGTAGTAATTACTGTTGTAGTTTTTGTTATTGTAGTATTAAAAAAAGTAAAAAGTAAAGATCCCTTTTCACGCCTTTCGGCGCATCGGGCATATGGGCAGAGCGTCCCATATTTTTACAGACCATCAGCACTCTGTGTCTAATGTGGTCAGCATTACGCCGGCTGTCTTTACTTTCCCAGGACAGCCCATCCTGGTACCCATTTTAGGCTGGGTAGACCTGCGACGTTGTAGTATTAGTATAGTAGTAATAGTAGTAGTTGCTCTAGTAGTAGTAGTAGTAGCAGCAGCAACTGCAGCAGCAGAAGTAGTAGTAGTAGTAGTAGTAGTAGTAGCAGTAGTAGTAGTAGTAGTAGTAGTAGTAGTAGTAGTAGTAGTAGTAGTAGTAGTAGTAGTAGTAGTAGTAGTAGTAGTAGTAGTAGTAGTAGTAGCTGCAGCACTAGTAGTAGTAGTAGTAACTGTTATTGTTTTTGTTATTGTAATATTAATATAGCAGTAGTAGCAGTAGTGGAGCCGACCTGGTCTAGCGGCTAGACGCTCGCCTGCGGATCGGAAGGTTGTGGGTTCAGTTCCTGACGAGGACCTGATTTCTTTTCTCAGAAATGATCTTGGCTCCCAGCCTTGAGTGGGTACCAGGTGCAGTCCTGGCAAGTAAAGGCGGTCGGCATGATGCTGACCACATTACCCACTAAGTGCCGTTTGGTCTATAAAATATAGATCTACGCCTGAAAGGAGTGGAAAGGGGTCATTTACTTAAAATTTTAGTAGCAGTAGTAATAGTAGGGGTGGTGGTGGTGGCGGTAGAGGTGGCAGTAGTATGGGTGTAGCAGTGGTGGTAGTATATTAAATTGTAGCAGTATTAGTGAATGTTGTAATAGTAGTTTCCCGTTTGCCCCTGCTCAAACAAAATAGTAATAGCAGTAGACGTTGTAGTACTACTAAGTAGAAGTAAAAGTAAAAGTGATAGTAGAAACAGTGATAGCAGTAACAGTTGCTAGGCCGTTTGCCTTTTACTCAAACAAAGTATAAGCTGCATTAGTAGCCGCAGCTGTAGTAGTAGTAGTAGCAGTAGTAGCAGCAGTAGTAGAAGTAGTTGTAGTAGTAGTAGTAGTAGTAGTAGTAGTAGTAGTAGTAGTAGTAGTAGTAGCAGTAGTAGCAGTAGTAGTAGAAGTAGTAGTAGTAGTAGAAGTAGTAGTAGTAGTAGTAGTAGTAGTAGTAGTAGTAGTAGTAGTAGTAGTAGTAGTAGTAGTAGTAGTAGTAGTAGTAGCAGTAGTTGTAATAGTAGTAGTAGTGGTAGCAGCAGTAGTAGTAGTAGTAGTAGTAGTAGTAGTAGTAGTAGTAGTAGTAGTAGTAGTAGTAGTAGTAGCAGTAGTTGTAATAGTAGTAGTAGCAGTAGTAGCAGCAACAGTAATAGTATTAGTAGTAGCAGCTCAGCTTCGTATGGAGGTTAATTATTTTCCAAACTTACCCTGTTTCCAAGGTTTATCGAATCTAAAACGGGTAGAAGGAAACATTCTGTAAAGTAAAGATGGTCGACATGATGTTCTCTGCACCTACCATCGAATCAGTCTCCTTAAAAGGACTCTCTTCCACGATTTCAGGCCTATTTGGCATATAGGGCTAGACCTTAACTTTTCCAGGACTTTACCTGGCACCAATATAAAGCTTATTTGGGGTCAAAGGTCATTTTGAAAAAAAAGTCTACCTTCGTCAGGACCTGGACCCAGGACCTTCAGATCCGCCAAGCAAGCGTCTAGCCGCTCTCACCGTAGCCTTAGTACTCAGTAAACCAACAATGTTGAACCCAGGACCTTCAGATCCGCAAGCAAGCGTCTAACCGCTCTCACTGTAGCCTTAGTACTCAGTAAACCAACAATGTTGAACCCAGGACCTTCAGATCCGCAAGCAAGCGCCTAGCCGCTCCCACTGTAGCCTTAGTACTCAGTGAACCAACAACGTTGAACACAGGACCTTCAGATCCGCAGGCAAGCGTCTAGCCGCTCCCACTGTAGCCTTAGTACTCAGTAAACCAACAATGTTGAACACAAAACATAGTCACAGAAATGAAACTAGAAATGCCTACCACGTAGTGGTAGTATCTAAGGTCAATGTTGACAACGTTGTCCTCCCCAGCTGGGCTGACTTTCTCCTTGAATGCTCTATGGTCCCTGAGATCTTCCAGGAGCTGTACCTTCCCCAGACGCCTCGATGACATGTTGTTCATCAGCAATGACCTTGCCACTGAGGCGACTTGTAGCAACACAATGGCTACCAGCATTGTCGTTACTATGGTGTGAATAAAAGAAAATAACCTTTTTTTTTTTAGTTTACCCAATCACGGGGAATCCGTGAGTTCTCGTGGAAAGTCCAGTATTATAGGGGTGTTATGGTGTTGTTGTTTGTTTGTTTGTTTTAGTATCCAGAAGCCATGAGTTGTTAACCCTTAGGCTCGGTATTATGGATATCGCAACCTTTCGGCCTTGATTCCATTGTAAATACCGTAAATCTGGGAGAAAATGTGGCTTTCCTGCCTACCCCCGGGATTGAACCCGGACCACAAGGAGTACGTCACCCGGTCTCCGCGAAATCCGGTTTAGCCAATTCCACTAGAGAGCCGGGCATGTTATGGTGTTAAATGAGCACCGACTAACTCTGGGCCTACCCCCCCCCCCCTCCCCCCCCTCCCTCCGACACTTTCCGTACTTTCCATGGGAACTCTCAAATTCTCCGAGATGGAGTAATTTGAATAACAATAACAAGTGTGACAGAGAAGAAATCGGCGATGCAGAGGATAAAGGGGAAAGGGAAGTGGGGAGTTGGGGGGGGGGGGGGCTTGCATTGAAATAAACCGAAATATCTTATCGTGATTCTAAGTATACTGATACTTATTGATGCTCTGTAATATTTTACACAAATTGGCGTTCAATAAACAATGTGGTCATAATCACTCGGTCCAGTTTTACTTCCGAAAATATTTATTGGGATTGTTTTAGACTGACTTCGCAGGTTAATGGATAGTAGTAGTAATCATTTTTTAATACAATTTTTATTTCCACAGTAGTATAGTTAGTCGACAGACTATTCTCATTGCACATGGAACCATTCAGTCATAAGTGTTCACATCTCCCCCCTTAGTAAATCCCGCAGCTTGTAGCAGCTGACCTCAGTTCTGGGTTGGTTTCTTAGTCTTATTTAGCTTCCAGCATTGTGCTCTTTTCTGACTACATCCCTTTTAACACGCTGTTTATGCGGTCTGGTCATTGTTGGAAATTCACAGTCATCACTTAGTTCTTGCAAACGTCTTACTTCTTGTCGAGCATATAGAATAGCTGCCTGGTCCATGGCACGTCCGTCCTTTACAGTAGCTTTACCTGCAAGCCTGCCAGCTTGCTCATTTCCTTGCACATCTATGTTCCTGGTACAAACATTAAACTGATATGTAAAAGCCAACCGCTTCATAGACTCCAATCACCGTCTCCGTATCTTCATGCTCATACTCACTGAGTCATTGAGAAAGTGTGCGTGGGAAAAGATCTGTGTCTCCAGCCAAGTTATTGCTTTAGTTACTGTCATGACCTCCATAGTCAGACCACTTGTGGTCAAGGCAACAGCTCAGAATCTTGCTTCACGATTCTAACTCCAGCCTGAGCTGTAAAAGCCCAAGAGCTTCTCACATGGCGAATCACCGACCCATCTATATAAATGACTGCATCTTCCTGTAGACAATTCTTGAAAATCAAGGTCTGCACTTCTGCCTCAACAACAGTCGGACTTTCTTGTCTGCAGTTTACGTCTAGTCGGATGCAAACAGAAAAGGTCGTGCTGTCTTCTTTTGTAGTTGTACCCAGTCTTCGCCAGCTTCTATGTCCTCAAGTGAACACAGGTGAAACGATAAGAGTAGTAATCGTGTGTTTTGACACATATTATTTTCACAATAAAATAGTCCTGGGCTCGAAGATTAGGTGTGTTTGTGCGCGCGCATGTGTGTGTGTGTGTGTGTGTGTGTGTGTGTGTGTGTGGACACTGATTTAGTATTGAATATTTCCCATCACTGCACAGATGTGGGCTGATTCACTTTCAGTGTGTAAGACAAATGGTCCTCGTTCAACTGCACTTTCTCACGTTTCGTCAAAACTGGTAGGAGTTGTTGGAAGCAGAAACCTGTTATGGTTAAAGCAAAAGTCCATGCGCTGGTCTGTGGCATTTCAAGTAAAGCAGATGTGTTTATCTGCACTGACGAGACCGTTGTACGAGAACAAACGAGGGCATAATTATTCAGGTAGGGCAGTCCAAGAAGCCAGAATTGCCTTTTCGATGACGATATCTGGTCAATCAGCATAGGACTGGCAGTATTGCCAGCTGGACACTGATGTAAATACTAAAAGGGGAAATTGAGCACCTTTGGATGTGACCAGAGTGTGGTGTAGATAACATAACTCACAAATCATAACTAAATAATATTTATACTAGAGAAACACTGCATATATGGATAATCTATTTCAAGCGAACGAAAGAAGAAGAAAAAAGAAAAACTAAATAATAACTAAACAAGCACCGCCGCAAGGCGCTGACTAGTTCTCATGACCTGGGTTCGAAGACTGAACCTAAACGAATACCAAGAAATGCTGCAGGGACTAAATTCAGCCGACAAGATTTGTGTTTAAAAGGTATTCCGGGTAGATCAAGTCGGGTAGAGTAAAGGTTATGGCTCCGAAGGCTTTATGATGACCTAGGCTACATATGTGGACCCTGCAGTAGCGTAGCAGGGTCAGTGGTACCTTGCACGGAAGATTTACTGTAGGCCTCCCCCGCCA